CACCTCAACAACCCCTTTCCCCAGCCTCTGGACAACAGTTTTGGTAATCCCGCACCTCCTCCTAACTTCCAAACTACGAATTCTCTGCATTATATTCACACCACACATTGCCCTCAGACATGACATCTCCACTGCCTCCAGCCTTCTCCTCGCTGCAACATTCATCACCCATGCTTCACACCCATATATATATATATATATATATATATATATATATTATAATATATATTTATATATAATATTTATATATATATATATATTATATATATATTATATATATATATTGTATTGTACATGTATATATATTGTAGAACAATAGTAATAAAAAAAATTTTGTATTTTTTTTTTTTGTATACAAGTTTTGTAAACAATATTTTGATAATTATGTTTGTGTGCTTATTGTGTTGTATATAACGAGTGTATATATGTACATTGCACCTTACTTTGGTCTCACAGGCCACATACGTTATGTGAAAAAATAAAATAGTGAAAAAAACAACAAACCTTCAAGTACAAGTAAACCAAAGTTTACCGGGTGAGTGGCAGTCACCGCTGTTGCCATACGCAGCTCATTTTCTGCAAACTTCACAGCTCTCTATCTCGGTAAGTACTGATGGCTAAATTTTTTTTTTGGACTAAAACACTCAGAAAAATAATCTTAACAGTTTCATAAGAAAATATATATATATTTTTTTTTAATATTTTGTGACAGAATGACAGTTTCAGAAAGGGGCCTGTGACAGTCACAGGGTTAAATCTTCTGAACCAAATTATGTAGTACAGGTGAATCAACATGAATGAATATATACACACATCTAAGTTTTTCTTCTTTTTTCTAAATAGCTCTTGTTCTTCCTTATTTCCTCTATTGTCAATGGGGAAGTGGAAAAGAATCCTCCTTCCGTAAGCCATGCGTGTCGTATGAGGCGACTAAAATGCCGGGAGCAATGGGCTAGTAACCCTTTTTCTGTAAACATTTACTAAAAAAGAGAAGAAGAAAAGATTTATAAAACTGGGATGCTTTAATATGCGTGGATATAGTGTGGATGATAAAAAAGAGGTGATTGCTGATGTTATGAATGAAAAGAAGTTGGATGTCCCGGCCATAAGCAAAACAAAGCTGAAGGGGGTAGGGGAGTTTCGTTGGGGAGAAATAAATGGGATTAAGTCAGGAGTATCTGAGAGAGTTAGAGCTAAGGAAGGGGTAGCAATAATGTTGAAGGATCAGTTAAGAAAGGAGAAGAGGGAATATAAATGCGTAAATTCAAGGATTATGTGGGTTAAAATATGGGTTGGATGCGAAAAGTGGGTCATAATAAGCGTGTATGCACCTGGAGAAGAGAGGAGTGTAGAGGAGAGAGAGAGATTTTAGGAGATGTTAAGTGAATGTATAGGAATCTTTGAACCAAGTGAGAGAGTAATTGTGGTAGGGGACCTGAATGCTAAAGTAGGAGAAACATTTAGAGAGACTGTGGTAGGTAAGTTTGGGGTACCAGGTGTAAATGATAATAGGGGCCCTTTGATTGAACTTTGCATAGAAAGGGGTTTAGTTATAGGTAATACATATTTTAATAAGTATACAAGATACGATGTAGGGCGAAATGACAGTAGTTTGTTGGACTATGTATTGGTAGATAAAAGACTGTTGAGTAGACTTCAGAATGTGCATGTTTATAGAGGAGCCACAGATATATCAGATCACTTTTTAGTTGTAGCTACAGTGAGAGTAAAAGGTAGATGGGATACAAGGAAAATAGAAGCATCAAGTAAGAGAGAGGTGAAGGTTTATGAACTAAAAAAGGAAGCAGTTAGGGTAAGATATAAACAACTATTGGAGGATAGATAGGCTAGTTGAGAGTATAGGCAATGGGGTCAAAGATATATGGGGTAGGTTTAAAAATGTAGTGTTAGAGTGTTCAGCAGAAGTTTGTGGTTACAGAAAGTAGGTGAGGGAGGGAAGAAGAGCGATTGGAGGAATGATGATGTAAAGAGAGTAGTAAGGGAGAAAGAGTTAGCATATGAGAGGTTTATACAAAGTATAAGTGATGCAAGGAGGGAAGAGTATATGGAGAGGAAAAGAGTGGTGAAGCAATGTAAAAAGAGAGCAAATGACAGAGTGGGCGAGATGTTATCAACAAATTTTGTTGAAAATAAGAAAAAGTTTTGGAGTGAGATTAACAAGTTGAGGAAGCCTAGGGAACAAATGGATTTGTCAGTTAAAAATAGGAGAGGAGAGTTATTAACTCCTAAATGGTCCAAACGCACATATACATTCATGTGCATAGCGCCCCAAACGTATATACACGTTTTCTTTGTCATTTATTCATCATTGCCACGATAAGCCTGATTCGCCTAGACATGAGATAATGGGTGTGCGCACTCACTGTGCGCCATATTAAAATAATTGGGGATGCCTGGATACCATGTGCTCTTTTTTCCTATTAAGAAAAAAAAAAAGATTTTTTTTTCTATTAAGAAAAAAAATGATTTTTTTTCTCAAAAAAATTGGGGCGCAACACGAGTGGACGTATATATACGTTTGGGCCGTTTAGGGGTTAAATGGAGAGTTAAAGGTATCGGGAAGATGGAGGGAATATTTTGAGGAATTGTTAAATGTTGATGAAGATAGAGAAGCTGTGATTTTGTGTATAAGGCAAGGAGGAATAACATCTTGTAGGAGTGAGGAAGAGCCAGTTGTAAGTGTGGGGGAAGTTTGTGAGACAGTGGGTAGAATGAAAGGGGGTAAGGTACCTGGGATTGATGGGATAAAGATAGAAATGTTAAAAGCAGGTGGGGATATAGTTTTGGAGTGGTTGGTGCTATTATTTAATAAATGTATGGAAGAGGGTAAGGTGCCTAGGGATTGACAGAGAGCATGCATATTTCCTTTGTATAAAGGCAAAGAGGACAAAAGAGAGTGCAAAAATTATAGGGGGATAAGTCTCTTGAGTATACCTGGTAAAGTGTATGGTAGAATTATTATTGAAAGAATTAAGAGTAAGACAGAGAGTAGGATAACAGATGAATAAGGAGGCTTTAGGAACGGTACGGGGTGTGCAGACCAAGCGTTTACAGTGAAACACATAGGTGAACAGTATTTAGATAAGGGAAAAGAGGTTTTTGTGACATTTATAGATTTGGAAAAGGCGTATGACAGGGTGGATAGAGGGACAATGTGGCAGATGTTGCAGGTGTATGGTATAGGAGGTAGGTTACTGAAAGCAGTGAAGAGTTTTTACGAGGATAGTGAGGCTCAGGTTAGAGTATGTAGGAAAGAGGGAGATTATTTCTCAGTAAAAGTAGGCCTTAGACAAGGATGTGTGATGTCACCGTGGTTGTTCAATATATTTATAGATGGGGTTGTAAGAGAAGCGAATGCGAGGGTCTTGGCAAAAGGTGTGGAGTTAAAAGATAAAGAATCAAACACAAAGCAGGAGTTTTCACAGTTGTTTTTTGCTGATGACACTGTGCTCTTGAGAGATTCTGAAGAAAAGTTGCAGAGGTTGGTGGATGATTTTGGTAGGGTGTGTAAAAGAAGAAAATTAAAAGTGAATATAGGAAAGAGTAAGGTTTTGAGGATAACAAAAAGATTGGATATCAGATTGGAGGGAGAGCGTATGGAGAGGTGAATGTATTCAGATATTTGGGAGTGAACATGTCAGCAGATGGGTTGATGAAAGATGAAGTGAATCATAGAACTGATGAGGGGAAAAGGGTGAGCAGTGTGCTTAGGAGTCTGTTGAGACAAAGAACTTTTCTATGCAAAGAGGGGAAAGTATGAGAGTATAGTTTTACCAATGCTCTTATATGGGTGTGAAGCATATGTGATGAATGTCACAGTGAAGAGAAGGCTGGAGGCAGTGGAGATATCATGTCTGAGGGCAATGTGTGGTGTGAATATAATGCAGAGAATTTGTAGTTTGGAAGTTAGGAGGTGCAGAATTGCCAAAACTGTTGTCTAGAGGGCTGAGGAACAGTTGTTGAGATGGTTCAGACATGCAGAGAGAATGGAACAAAATCGAACGACTTTGAAAGTGTATAAATCTGTAGTGGAGGGAAGGCGGGGTAGGGGTCAGCCTAGGAAAGGTTGGAGGGAGGGGGTAAAGGTTTTGTGTGTGTGAGGGGCTTGGACTTCAAGCAAGCATGCGTGAGCGTATTTGATAGGAGTGAATGGAGACAAATGGTTTTTAATACTTGACGTGCTGTTGGAGTGTGAGCAAAGTAACATTTATGAAGGGATTCAGGGAAACCGGCAGGCCGGACTTGAGTCCTGGAGATGGGAAGTACAATGCCTGCACTCTGAAGGAGGGGTGTTAATGTTGCAGTTTAAAAACTGTAGTGTAAAGCACCTCTCTGGCAAGACAGTGATGGAGTGAATGATTATGAAAGTTTTTCGTTTTTGGGCCACCCTGCCTTGGTGGGAATCGACCGATGTGTCAATAAAAAATAAAAAATAAGAAGAATAACACTGAACTTGACAAAGGTCAAGGAAGGAGCAAAGCACTTTCATAAGGTGCCTAACCTGGAGTCAAGGTCATTGGTCACTTGCTCCAACCATAGTGCTCCTACTCTTATTATTAATGAGAACTGTACTCTGAAACAGTGAGCATATATATTGAACAAGTGGTGTGGCAAGTGTGACCTTACATGTTTTAAGACTGACAGCATGGTATGAGAGGTGACCTTGCATGTGTCAAGACTGACAGCATGGTATGAGAGGTGACCTTGCGTGTGTTAAAACTGGCAGCATGGTATGATAGACGACCTTGCACGAGTTAAGACTGAAAGCATGGTATGAGAGGTAACCTTGCATATGTTAAAACCGACAGCATGGTGTGAGAGGTGACCTTGCATTTATTATGACAGCATAGTGAGAGAGGTGACCTTGCATGTGTTAAGACTGACAGCAAGGTGAAAGTGGTGACCCTGCATGTGTTAAAATTGACAGCATGGTGAGAGGTGACCTTGCATGTGTCAAGACTGACAGCATGGTGTGAGAGGTGACCTTGCATGTGTTAAGATTGACAGCACAGTGTGAAAGGTAACCTTGCACGTGTCAAGACTGACAGCATGGTGTGAGAGGTGACCTTGCGTGTGTCAAGACTGACAGCATGGTGTGAGAGGGTTGTAATAAACATTAAGTTACTTACATGTTGTCTTGCTGCAACTTCTTCCTTCTCATCCTGGGGTGAAGAGTCGTCACTCAACAACTTCTTGCTCACAGCTTCCCTAGAATAAACAATCATTACATCAACATTAAATTCACAACCACCTGTGGCAAGCACAAAAGTTCACATTGATATGCACATTTAATTCTGACAAGTCAACACCACAAGTAGAACATGTGCAGAGTTGTCTCTCACATACCCTGTTGTATATATATTATGACACCTACTTCACTTCTATGTAAATTATACAGTAAATGCTTCAACCTTATCTTGCCTAATCTAATCTAAATGACCCTAATCTAATCTAACCTAACAGAACCTAATCTATCCTAACTGAACCTAATCTAATCAAAATGAAACTTATCTAGCCTTTTTATTTTTATTAACACATTGGCTGTTTCCCATCACGGCAGGATGGCCTGAAAAAGAAAAACTTTCATCATCATTCACTCACTATCACGCCAGAGGCGCACTTACACAACAGTTATAAAACTGCAACATTAACATCTCTCCTTCAGAGTGCAGGCACTGTGCTTCCCACCTCCAAGACTCAAATCCGGCCTGCCAGTTTCCATGTATCCCTTCATAAATGTTACCTTACTCACACTCCAAGAGCATGTCAGGTCCTAAAAACCATTTGTCTCCACTAGCTCCTATCTAACATGCTCAGGTATGCTTGCTGGAAGTCCAAGCCTTATGCACACAAAACCTCCTTCACCCCTTCCCTCCAACCTTTCCTAGGCTAACCCCTACCCAGCCTTCCTTCCACTAGTGATTTATATGCTCTCCAAGTCGTTCTATTTCAATCCATTCTCTCTAAATGTCTGAACCACCTCAATAACCCCTTCTCAGCCCTCTGGATAATACTTTTAGTAACCCTGCACCTCCTCCTAATTCCCAAATTAAAGATTCTTTGAATTAGATTTACACCTTCATTATATTCTAACTTACCCCTTTCAGGGTCCAGAGGCCAAATTTAAAAGTGTGCACCAGTGTCCAAGAATTTTCAAAAAATAATTTTCTTATTTTTTCTCATGAAATGGTAGAGAATCTTTTTCTGAAGGTAATAAAACAAAAAGTACGAAATTTGATGGAAAATTGACGAAATTATACTCTTGCGAATTTTGATGTGTCAGCGATATTTATGCATAGGCGATTTTGCCAACTTTGACTCCCATTTTAGGCCAATTGCATTATTCCAGTCGACCAAATTCTTAGCTATTTCACTAGTATTACTTCTATTCTATCAATTGAGCACAAGAAATCGCCAAGTCAACTGTTTCAACTACAAAATAAAGTGATCGGAAATTGGTAATTTGGCCAATTTAATGCAAAGTTCAAAATATTCCAATTTCAAAATAGGGTCCAGAATAAACAATGCAGGCATTCCTGACTTAGTACTAAACTAACATTTCCTCTGTTCATTATTTACATATCGAGGCTTTACAAATGAATTCCATTTTGATTTTTTATTTACATAATAAATTTTTATTCAAACCCAAAAATAGAAGATTTACTGGTATGCAATATTGTAATAATTGTATAAATAATATCAGCACATTTGTGAACATATATTAAACCCACCAGCTGATGTGTATTAGACGTGTGAGGTCATTTGCTCACTCTTGAACATCGGACAAAAATTTAAAATTTCTGCTACTTTGAGCTCAGTTTCAAGCCATTTCCAGTACTAAAACTAATCAAAATCATCTCTCTTTCTGTAATATATTTTCCATTCTATCATATTTGTGATGGCACACCTGTACAGTGAAGTACAAAGTTATTACAGTGCAACATGCCAAAGCCTTGTATGTATAGCATTATGAGCAGGCTTAAAATTAACTTAAGATTAACTAAGCAATGATATATTCAGTGGTAAGAACATTATTGTAAACAGACAACAATTTAGCACAAATGAGTATTACAAAGACAGGTCATATGGTTATTTACTGCATTGCTGAGCATTCAGTAGAATGGAGTATTCTGTTAGGTAATGTAATTAAAAAAATAAAGTTTGATTGGGTCACAGGTTAGACATTTACGAGATACAATAATGAGAAACATTTACGAGATACAATTTATGAGATACAATTATTCAGTATTTATTTAGTTGTGGGTTAGTAAGTGATTTTTGAGAAGAGACTTGAATTTATAAACAGACAGTGTTTCTTTTATATTCACAGGTAATGAATTCCAGATTTTGGGGCCATTTATGTGCATTGAGTTTTTGCAAAGCGTGAGATGGATTAGAGGAACATCAAAGAGTGATCTGTGCCAAGTGTTACGGTCGATTGTTCTGTTGAGGTTGGTAAGGAGATGTTTGAGGGGAGGGTTTATATCAGAATTAAGTGTTCTATGAATTTAGTAGGTGCAGTAATAAGTATGGATGTTTCGAATGGTGTGTAGGTTTAGAGTTTTGAATATTGGTGGAGTGTGCTGCCTGTAGTGGGAATTTGTTATCATTCTGACTGCAGCCTTTTGTTGGGTAATTAATGGTCTGAGAAGGTTTATTGTTGTTGAGCCCCATGCAAAATACCATAGGTGAGATAGGGGTAAATAAGTAAGTGATATAGGGCCAGGAGGGTTGACTGTGGAACATAGTACCGTATCTTCGATAGTATGCCTACGGTCTTGGAATTTTTTTTGGAAATTTGTTGTATATGTGTATGAAATTTGAGTCTATTATCAAGGTGGATTCCTAAGAATTTTCCCTCTGCGAGTTTTGTGATAGGTGAACCGTTTATCATTATGTTAAGAGGGATGTCTGTAGCTCTGTTACCAAACTGAATGAAGTAGGTTTTGTCAATGTTTAGAGTAAGTTTGTTAGTACTCATCCAGGTAGATATTTTCTGTAATTCGGTATTTACAGTATTGGCTAGCATGACTGGGCTCGGGTGAGAGAAGACGTATGTAGTGTCATCTGAAAATAGTGTGGGTTTGAGTAGTTGCGATGCATTTGGTAGGTCATTTATGTATATGAGAAAGAGAAGAGGGCCTAGGACACTTCCCTGTGGGACACCAACTGTAATTGGCAATTACTGTGCTGAAGAGTTTGCCCCATTTGTGTACACATACTGGCTTCTGTTGCTGAGGTAAGACTTTAGGTAGCTGAGGGAGTGCCCTCTTATACCATAGTGTGACAATTTTATATGGAGCAAGTCATGGTCAACTGTATCAAAAGCTTTACGTAAGTTTATGAAGATCCCCAGTGGGACTTCTTTTTTCTTTATTGCAGTGTATATGTGTTCTAGCATGTGTATAATAGCATCATTAGTATTTTTATTGGACCTGAACTCAAATTGACAGGGGTTGAGTATGTTGTGGGTGATGAGGTAGGAATAGATTAGCTTATGAATTAATTTTTCGAAGATTTTAGAGAGAGGGAGTAAGTTGGATATTGGCTATAGTTATTCAACTCTGTTTGGTCTCCTCCTTTATGGATCAGGGTGACCCTTGCTATTTTGAGAACTGTAGGGAAGGTAGAGGATTCTATGGATTTGTTAATGAGTGTTGCAATGATTGGTGATAGTACTTGTTACGCTTTTTTGTATATAAAGGGTGGTAAGGTATTTAAATCTTCTGGCTTGTTTTTAGTGTGTTGATAATAAGGGAGACTTCAGTAGGGTTAGTCGGAGCTAGGAACAGGGTGTTCGGGTAGTTGCCAGTGAGGTAGTCATTGGGTGGGGTATCTGAGCTTGGGATTTTATTGGCAAGGTTTTTTCTGTAGTGGAGAAGAAATTATTGAGTCTGTTTGCTGTTTCAGTTGGTGGGAGTTGGGGTTCATCTGGTTTTTGTTAATTCAATTTCGCTATTTCATGATATCTTTTTTGTTCCTAGAACTGGTGATAGGGTTTTCCAGGTCTTTTTTATATCACCTCGTAAGTTGGATAATCTGTTCTCATAATACAGTTTTTTAGCCCTTCTTATCAGGCTGGTTAGGATTGACGAGTAACGTTTTGTTTAGTCTCTGGTTATGTGACCCATTCTGTACTGTTTTTTGTATAGGTGCTTTGTATTTATGGATTTGAGGATGCTGGGTGTTAGCCAGGGACTGTTCAGTCTCTTAGTTGTCATCTGTTTAGTTTTTTTGGGTCAATGCTTGTTATAAAGGTATTGGGTCTTTTTTAGAAAATTATTAATACATTCGTCAATATCTGTATAGATTTCTAGCTCAGTGTGCCAGTCAATGTTTGTCACTGCTGCTGTGAAGTTATTAATGGCTGCCTCACTGTGAAGTCTGAAAGTGACTTTAGTAGTGTCTTGGGGTAATTTGCCAAGAGTTGTTATGAGGAAGGTAGGGTAGTGATCTGTGGTATTATCTGTGATTATGTCTGATTTTAAAGGGGATATGGTGTTGGTCCAGATGTGGTCAAGTAGGGAAACACTAGTCTCTGTAACTCTTGTAGGTTTTGTTACTGCTGGTAGCAACGTGCAGTTACTGACAGTGTTTGTGAATTCAGTAACATGTGGGTCCTGGTCTTGCAGGAGATTTATATTGAAGTCACCTGAGAGTAGCAAGTGATCTTTGTTCATGCGTGCATCAGTTATCATACTTCCTAGGTTGTCACTAAAACGGCTAATGTTTGACTGTGGTACTCTGTAGATGTTTATCACTGTGAGAGATTTTTGTAGGTATTCTGATTTGAATTTAGCTATTATATATTCCCCATGTTCATCCCTTGTGCAAGTAATAGTGATACATTCTAGTTGGTCTGAGTAGTACATAGCTGTGCCACCCCCTTGTTGATCTGGCCTACAGTTGTGTATGGCTGTGTAACCAGGAATGATATAGACATCTGTAGTATCAGGCTTTAGCCAGGTTTCGGTGAGAGTAATGATGGATATAGTGGAATGCAGGGAATTTAGTAATGCTATGAGGTCATCGTAATGTTTACTTAAAGATCTGATGTTGTAGTTAAAGACAGTTATGTTTTTGTTGGCTCTGAGAAGTGCCTTTGATTGTTCTTCGGTGTAGTAATTACAGTTACTGTTTGATTTATTTAAGTCATTCAATAAGAGGTTGGTATCAGGATCAATGCTTGTTATCATAAGATTTATAGT